AATGAATAAAATACTATTGCATTGCAATCTGCAAATGAATAAAATACTATGCATTGCAATCTGCAAATGAATACAATACTAGTGCATTACAATCTGCAAATGAGTACAACATTAGTGCATTACAGTCTGCAAATGAATACAACACTAGTGCATTACAATCTCCAAATGAATACAACACCAGTGCATTGCAATTGCAAATGAATACAATACCAGTGCATTGCAATCTGCAAATGAATACAATACCAATGCATTGCAATCTGCAAATGAATACAACACTAGTGCATTGCAATCTGCAAATGAATACAACACTAGTGCATTGCAATCTGCAAATGAATACAACACTAGTGCATTGCAATCTGCAAATGAATACAACACTAGTGCATTGCAATCTGCAAATGAATACAACACTAGTTCATTACAATCTGCAAATGAATACAACACTAGTGCATTACAATCTACAAATGAATACAACACTAGTGCATTGCAATCTGCAAATGAATAAAATACTAGTGCATTACAATCTACAAATGAATACAACACTAGTGCATTACAATCTGCAAATGAGTACAACAATAGTGCATTACAATTGCAAATGAATACAACAATAGTGCATTGCAATCTGCAAATGAATACAATACTAGTGCATTACAATCTGCAAATGAGTACAACACTAGTGCATTACAGTATGCAAATGAATGCAATACTAGTGCATTACAATCTGCAAATGAATACAACACTAGTGCATTACAATCTCCAAATGAATACAATACCAGTGCATTGCAATCTGCAAATGAGTACAACACTAGTGCATTACAGTCTGCAAATGAATACAATACTAGTGTATTGCAATCTGCAAATAAATACAACACCAGTGCATTACAATCTACAAATGAATACAACACTAGTGCATTACAATCTGCAAATGAATACAACACTAGTGCATTACAATCTGCAAATGAATACAACACTAGTGCATTGCAATCTGCAAATGAATACAACACTAGTGCATTACAATCTGCAAATG